ATATTGTTGTACTATCCCCGCCCCCTCCATTGTGATTGGTGTATCCATCTCATTTCCATTGACATAGCTGTAACTCTGCCACTTCAGGATGCGGCTCAAACAATGTACCGCCCCCACCTTTCCAGCTGCATCGGATCTTATATTAATGGCTGATTAGTAAGGTATATATATATACATTCACTGGGCTTATTTACTCAATTTGCCCCTGACGACAGCGTGTGAGCATGCCTAAACGCGCTTCGGGCTGTTTTAGCTCCTTGCACTTTTATTTCCACTTCGGTAGCACTATGAGCACTTATTTCTTTTGGGTTCTATTTTCATTTGCTACACTAGAGTCAGTTGGATTAGGTGGTGCCAAGGTAACTTAGGGATAAATCTTGAGCTAGCATCTACTCCCTTTTTAGGTTGACCTCATCATTTGGTTTACATAGAGATATATATATATAGTGCTCTAGCTTTCTGTTTACATACTATAGACTTTTAGATACCAGAGAGAGATCTGAGCCTGTATCCTTCTGCCTGTGTGTTAAACCTCTGGGATCTACCTGGCTTTCATTGGGTTTATGAAGGGCTCTAGTTTCCTGTCAATATACCATAGATTTTCAGATACCAGAGACAGATTTGAGCCTGTACCCCTTCACCTGTGTGTTAAACCTCTAGGATTTACCTGGTTTTCATTGAGTTTATGAGGATCTCTTGTTTCCTATAGAGGTACCCTAGTGATTATTAGCTATTTTCTGTCATACCCCTGCATTTATCTTCCTGAACCACTCTCTTTCCAAGAGGAGGATATTGGGGACATACCATATTGTATATTTTTCCCTTTCTTTGCTTTACACCACAATTTTGGTGTTGATCCTCTCCCCTAGTGTATATGCATACCCCCCTCCCCCTTGTACATTTTTTATCCTCTCTACTGTGCTATACCTTGTTGAGTTTCCTTTCCCATTGAGGAACTCATTGAGACCTATTGTCATTGCTGTATATACATTTAAGGGTTATGCCTCTAGAGAGCACAGTTTAGGCGACCATTCTCCACTCTGGAGACCTGATATTGTGGATTCCTCTCTTCTCTAGTGTTGGTATCAGAGGTCACCACCTTATCTTTTAATTATTTTCCTTGTAGATTCTGCACCAGATCTTATTATAGGCATCAACTTCATTCCAATGTTTGTTTGGAAAATCTATTTATCATTTTGTTTTTGACTCTTCTTTCTTCTTTATGTGAAAATTATTATGGTATGTAAAGATGTGCATATTTCTCATTTTAAATGTCGCATGAGGTAGAGGTTTGAAAAAAATGTTTTATGGCAGTGCCGTAAGCCTTATAATTTATGTATGTTAAATGACCACTATAGGCACCTAGACCACTTCAGCTTAATGAAGTGGTCTGGGTGCCTGGTCCAGCTAGGATTAACCCTTTTGTCTGTAAACATAGCAGTTTCAGAGAAACTGCTATGTTTACCTATGGGTTAATCCAGCCTCTAGTGGCTGTCTCATTGATAGCCGCTAGAGGGCTTCCGCGCTTCTCACTGTAATTTTCACAGTAAGAAGATGCCAGCGTCCATAGGAAAGCATTGATAATGCTTTCCTATGGACTGGCTGAATGCGCGTGCGGCTCTTGCCGCGCATACGCATTCAGCCGGTGACGGAAGAAGAGGGAGGAGAGGAGGAGGAGAGCTCCCTACCCGGCGCTGGAGAAAGAGGTAAGTTTAACCCCCTTCCTCTCCCACCAGCCCGGCGGGAGGGGGACCCTAAGGGTGGGGGCACCCTCTGGGCACTATAGTACCAGGAAAACAAGTATGTTTTCCTGGCACTATAGTGGTCCTTTAAACATTTACTCTTTAGTTCATCCAGCACTAGAATAATTTTGGGAGGTATTTTGCACAGTTTTCTCTTATGTAAGGAAACTAAAGTTATTGGCTCAGTGGCACAGACCTCTACCAGAACATTGTTCAGTGTGATGTCACAGTCCCATAATACTTTCTTGTACAGCCACGTTGTTCCTGAGAGCACAGACCCTTTCCAACAGTTCTAAAAATGTAGGTTGTTAGGACAAGGAATGAGCAGCACTTCATAATTATAGAGTAGGGATAATTGACAAGTAAATTACATACAAACTGTTAACAGAGACAAGAGAGGAAGATCTATCTCAGCCATCCTGAGTCCAGCAATTAACATTTGCCGTTGTTTATCCACCATCCTGTGATATTCTTTGTTATTTTATTATATATGAAAAACTGTAAGCTGAATAAACCCAAGCCACCAGTGGTGTATTTTGGATTTGTGCTGCCCTAGGCAGGACGGTGCTCAGGCAACCGCCCCACCCACTGCCCCCCATACTTACATTTTCCCAACCCCTTCCTGTCAAGGCCACACTTTGACTGACAGACACTTGCTTACTGATGTATTCACTGACATACACTCACTAAAATATACAATCATTGGCACACTGTTTAACCAACACACACTTTCACTGACAGACAGACACACACACACACACACACTCAATGACAGACACACACTATTACTCAGACATACACTGACAGACTCATACTCATTGACAGACGCACACATTCACTGACAGACGCATACACTCATTGACAGACTCATACACTCATTGGCAGACACACACTCTCATATATAATGACAAACAATGACATGCACAAACACTCACTGATTTGACACACTCTGACAGACACACACTATTACTCAGACACACACTAACAGACTCACACTCACTGACAGATGCACACTCACTGACAGACGCACACACTGACAGACACACACTCATTGACAGACACACACTCACTGACAGACGCACACACTCACTGACAGACGAGGGAGCTGAGCAGGAAGAGCTCAGGTGAGCATGCTCCCTCGCTGCCCGCCGCAATAGAAACTACCGCCCACCTTGGGGGGGCTCAAAAGTCGCCAGTCTGCCAGCCCTTGAGCCCCTCAGGGCACAAGACAAACAAGGGATCTGTTTGGGGTGAATTTTTTTGCCGCCCAAATTCCTTGTTTGCTTTGTGTAAGATACATTACTGCTGACCACCAAACAAGAAGAAAGAAAAGAAATATGTATTATAAGTAGTGTTTTTTTTTCTACAATCTATCAGTGTAATGCAATATAAATACAGTATATATATATATATATATACATATATATATATATATATATATATATATATAACAAGTCAATAGAATGGCTGCTCTCCTGACTTAAAACTTCTAAATATTATTTAAGCAATTAAAAGAACGACCAATGTTTCAGTCCCCATTCGGGACTTTCCTCAGGATCAAAAATAAAATAACATTAACATACACATAAATGCAATATATACATACATGTATAATCATAGAAACTCACCCAAAGTGTTGTGCACCCACCACCTGCGTTCCAGAGCCAAATGTCGCGCGTGCACACTTGCTCATGCGCATGCTCCGCCCCCACCAATAATGTTGTGCGTAAGATCATACCACCGTGGTGATCCCCCAACAACTGTAGTCTGTGTCTAAAAGGAGCTTCCACCAAAAAGATAGAATGAAGGCTTATTATAAAAGTAGAACATGCTGTTAGATATATGGTGATACAAGTATAAGGTTCTTAAATAGTTAATGTAAACAATATACAGTAATCCAAATACTTTAAAGTGTCAGATTTATGTACCTCAGAAGGGAAAGGGGAAAAAAGATTAAAGAAATGCAAGTGCAAAGAGATATGGCTTTGCACAAGGACATGTATATATAATATGATAATAAATTGGAAAAATGTGCCTCTAAAACAGCTATGGTAAAGTGAATAGCATGAAAAGTGCTGATTTGTAAAAAATGTATAAGTGACCATGTAAAGGATAAAGTGCTATAGTACAAATGTGTAAAAGAAAGTACCACGTCTATATAGCTGTGCACATATAAGAAGAAACAATATTGTACCAAAATCCCTTTATAACATTTCCATGAAATACATATGTACTAAAATCCCACTAGAAACACTTTTTCCTACATAAAATATTGTCAATCCCTCATAAAGAAAAAAATAGCATAATCCCAACATATAAGTACATTATTACAAGATGGATACACTAAATAAATGAATGATATGTGAGAGTCTCGTTAAGGCCACTGGGGGACAACGTATCCAACTCATGAATCCAAAATGCCTCCTTGTTAAGCAACATTTAACCCCTATTCCCTCCTCTCCTAGGAGGGGGAATATGATTAATGCCCACAAATTTCATGGATGCCAGTGAATGCTTGAACTCAAGAAAATGTTTAGCAACTGACTTGTCCGACTGTCCATCCTTATAAGCAAGTCTAATACTTGATCTATGTCCCCTGATCCGCTCGCATAGCAGTGTTTCTGTCTTTCCTATGTAATAAAGTCCACAGGGGCCCATCAGTTTGTAGACCACAAAAGGGGTCTTACACGTGATTGTATGTCTGATCTCGTATATCCTGTTTGTGTGTGGGTGATTAAATCTCTTAGATGGTATCATGTGCCCACAGGTGACAAAGCCTAGACATCGTGTAGTAATCTTTGTTTTCTGTGAATAACTGTCAACCGAGTCTGTATGTATCAACAGGTCCTTGAGGTTCCTGTTCCTCTTAAAACAAATTAAAGGTGCTTCCTTAAAAACCATAGGCAACGTGCCATCTGAAGAAATCATCTTCCAATTGTCCTTGATCACTGTGGCTACGGAGGTAGAGGAGTTGTAAAAAGTCATGGTAAAAACCTTTGCTTGCATAGGGTCTGCCTTTCTCTCTGCGTGGGCTGACTTAGCCTTGAACATCGCATCATCCAATGTATGGCAATCATAACCCCGATTTAAAAACTTTTGAGTCATCTCCTGTTACTGCATTTCCACTTTTGTCACATCTGAATTGTTTCTAATGACACTCTGAAACTGGGCCCTCGGTATCCATTTTCTCAAGGCCTGAGGGTGTGCACTTTGTACTTTCTCAGCCGTAAATCTAATAGGAGAAGGCAGCAGGTTCTATCACTCCACCATGTCATGTGCTTCAACTTGTGTGCCTTTCCAAATTACCAAGAGGTCATCAATGTAGCGATAATACACCATGATATGTTGACCAAACTGTGCCAGGATATCTTGAATTTCGTACATATACATGTATGCATTTGCATACATCAGGGCCATTGCCGACCCCATCGATGTACCCGCAACCTGGACATACCAAATTTTCCTCAAATCTGAAGTAGTTGTTCTGGAGAGTCAAGGCTAGAAGATCCAAACCAAATTCTATCAGAGGTCCCTGATATGTTTCTGACCTACACAGTAGGTATGTGCATGTGCAAAAAATTTGGTTCAGTTCGACAGTTCCGAAATTTGGGACTTCGGTAATTCGGCACTTCGGTTCAGTTCCGCACTTCAGAAATCAGGATTTGGGGAATTCGGCAATTCGGGACGTTGGCACATCAGGAATTTGAGACTTTGGCAATTCCCTAACCCTACCTCTACACCTAACCCTTACCCTAACCCTTACCCTAACCCTTACCCTACTAGGGTTAGAGGAAGGTTGGGGTAAGGGTTAGGGGTAGAGTTTGGGCTAGGGTTCAGGTTAGGGGTAGAGTTATGGGTATGGTTAGGATTAAGGTTAGGGTTAATGGTGGTGTTAGGGTTAGGGTTAGTGAACATAGAATCCAACCATTGTGCTATTGGTTCCAAAACACCATCAACTGCTGACACAATGGGGCGTCTAGGAGGTCTACTGGTGTATTTATGTATTTTAGGGATACTATAAATAATAGGAGTGCAGGGATGTTGTTTATTGTGTATATTGTGCATATATGTGTATATTATTACACTTGTATCACCATATATCTAACAGCATGTTCTACTTTTATAATAAGCCTTTATTCTGTCTTTTTGGTGGAAGCTCGTTTTAGACACGGAGTACAGTTGTTGGGGGATCACCATGGTGATCAGGTCGCGTCCCCGGTTCCTATGATCTTATGCATGACGTGATTGGTGGGGGCCAAAATCCCTATATCCACTCGTGAGATTTGAATCTGGTGCACAACACCTTGGGTGAGTTTCTATGATTATACATTATATGTATATATTGCGTTGATGTGTATGTTAATGTTGTTTTTGATCTTGAGCAAAGTCCAGAACAGGGACTGAAACGTTGGTCATTCTTTTAATTGCGTAAATAAAATGTAGAAGTTTTAAGTCCGGAGAGCAGCCATTCTATTGACTTGTTATGTGATTGGAGCCCAGGCTATTTCTGCACCCAGCACTGAATGGGTTAAAGCATGAGTGCAGGGGATTAATAATTTTATATATATATTTTCTTTGGGAGACAATAAAATGTAGTTTGTATAGTCTGATAGGTGTCCATATGGTCATCCGAACATCATCCATGCAAAAATATTCATTAGTACAATTCAGAGTGTAAATATTAAGTATATATTTTGCAGTACACTAATTGGCCGATTTTCCAACTCTGAATTGTACTAATGAATATTTTTGCATGGATGATGTTCGGATGACCACATGGACACCTATCGGACTATACAAACTAAATTTTATTGTCTCCCAAAGAGAATTCTAGCTCTGTGTTTACTTATATAAGGAATGGAAAAAAAGATCTTGATTAATATTCAGTTTATTTTTTCTTAGGGTTCTATACTGAGTATGACTGCATCTGTTCCCTTGATATTATATATGTTACATAGGTTTGGATATTGTGCCAGCAGGCACTGCTTCAGATATTAATGTGTGTTCCCAGGAGATAGACTCTTGCAAGCATACATTTATCAATTTAATCTCAAATACCACTATAAAATAACTTATGTACATCTATATTACTTTTGTTTTAGGTAGTAAACACAACTTTTATTAGAACTGAAGCTTTTTTAGAAAAAAAAGGAATTTTCCATTTGGATGTAATTATCATTTCCTTGTTTCTTGATTACATTTATATTTAATAGAATACAGTGAAATATATTCTGAACCTCTTCTGCAAGTAGGCTAGGCTGTCTTAGTCATGGATCTTTACTTAGGGCTAAACTGAGAAGCATTCAATTTGCAGTGTGCAGTAATTGCCGTGTATGCTTCCTCTGTCCCCAATGCTTCTCTGTGAGAATTGGATTGGAAAAAAGGCATAATTATTGATGAGTCCATTGGAGGCAGGTGCAATAAATAAATAAACAGCACATTATTTAAAAAAAAAAAAAAACCAATACTGATGTATGACAGCTCTGTTTGAAACTATATGCACTGTTTCTTCTAGTTTTATCTGAGATTAAAATGAGGCAACTCCTAGGGTCACAGACGCTTATGTGCAGAATATTTTTTTGGCACCCAGATGAGCATGATCAGGTTGGTCAACAGCATTGACAAGTCAAAATAAATGTTTAATTATTGACAATTCTGTAAAGTGCATTTAAATCAAATAGTTGTAGTAGAAAACATATCTTGGACTATAAATGTGAAATGAAAATATAAATTTTTGAACAAAAAAGGAGGTAGCAGAAAATCAGGTGCAAAATATGCACAATAGATTGATTCTGGACTTTCACCAGCAATACGATTTATAGAGAAAATTCAACCTTTTAACTTAAATTTGATGGGTTTGTTATGTATGCTGCAAATGCTTAAACACACATTATAACTGCTTATGCAAAATATGCATCACTAATCACTTGCTATCATATGGGCTATCATTGGTCAGAACAAAAAACATTTGTATGTGTAAGACGTAACCCATGATTTTATCACAAGACACGGAGGCTCATATTGCATATCCCTTTCTTTACTGTCCACCAATAGCAGCAAAGTATACAAACAGAATGAAAAAACAATGTACATACAGTAGCATAGGCCCCTCCCTGCACAGGTCCCAGTATAATAGGCAGCACTTCCCTTCCATTTCCCTCTTTCTTTGCTGCTCAAAAGATAAGTAACAGCTCACATTTTTCTCTCACATATTATTTATTATCCTGTGATCTATTCTCCCACCTGGGTTTCATCATCAACCAGGAAAAGTCGTTCCTGACTCCCGCCACTCGTATGGAATTCTTGGGATTCCTAGTGGATACGGAAGCCGCCACTCTGAGCCTTCCGAAGTCCAAGACTAGTTCAATACGCAAGGAGCTCCACAGAGCTCTCATACAGCCTCTCCTCACCTTGAGGAAAATGGCCTGGCTCATCGGCCTCCTCACATCCTCTATTCAGGCCGTGTTCCTGGGTCCACTCCATTACCGCGCACTGCAACACCTGAAAATAGCTCACCTGAGAGCTGGCGCTAGACAGCGAGACGAAGGACGAGCTTCGATGGTGGATCCTCGACCTATCCGCTTGGAATGGCAGGGCAATCTTCAGCTCCATGCCGGAGTTCACCATCAACTCAGATGCGAGCCTCCATGGCTGGGGGGCTCATTGCGAGGGTGTGACGACAGGGGGTCGCTGGTCAGAATCCGAATCCCGACTCCACATCAACACATTGGAACTCTTGGTGGGCTCCTTTTTGAAGCAGGTAAGGCCTATAGGACTATCAATCTATACCGGTCAGCCATTTCCTCAACGCATCAAGGGTTCGATGGCTGCCCGGCGGGCCAGCACCCCCTAGTGTGTCGGCTCCTCAAAGGTTCTCGCCTATCTCGACCGCCCAGGCCACGCTACACTGCGACCTGGGATGTATCGTGGTATTATCCTTCCTCACTTCTTGGCCCACTAATTCCGCTCTCTCCCTACGACAGCTATCAGCCAAGTTGGTCTGTTTGTTTTGTCTCATCTCCTGCAAAAGTGTCTCGGATGTCCGTGAACTGGACTTTGTTGCCAGATCTTATACCCCTGATGGTGTCACATTTAATATCAGCAGACGCACCAAAACATCTATTAAGTCAAACTCTTATCCGAGTTTCCCCTCTACACCCGCGCTGTGTCCGGTGGCCTGCCTACGCGAATATGAAGATCGCACAAAACTACACCGTTCCGCATCCTCTCCCCATCTATTTTTATCTATCCGTCCTCCGTTTAACTCCTACTCCGTCCTCCGTTTAACTCCTAACGGCTACTCCGTGTATTTAATAAAATCATGACTTTTGTCATGTAATAGCAAATTCATCATGCAATTTTATTTAGTCTTTATTTAGTCTTAACACAATTCAGGAGTGTTCCTTTTTAAAATTTCAACAAAACAGTTAAAATAACAGATTTCCATAGTAAATAAAATTGCAAAACAATGCAAATATCAATAAAATAAAATAAACAAAGTTACAATTATGTAAACATATGGTGTGCATCAGAAGCATATACTTTACTGACAACCCTGCACATTTATTGTGTTATATGAGGTTATACTCTATGTGAAGGATTATTTTTTTCAGGAGCATGGATTGACCAATATACTTAAATGGTAAAAGTGTCTGTTTTATTGAAAAGTGTTTTGTTTTTTTAATTAGTACACCTCTTCACTTTCCTATTGGTACATTATCTTCTAGATGTGAGACACTAGGGAAGGATGCAGTGTGTATACATTGGTTGATTATATAATCGAGCCTTGGAAATAGCAATTTGTTTTTTTGCGCTTGCGCTTCGTGCTTTTTAGATATTTTTTTGTTATCAGCTAGCACATTCTCAAAACCTTCCTCAGACCTGTATTCTACTAGGTGCTTGTTCTACATTCCCAGTTCCTCTACACAGCTTGATATCTTTAATGTTTTTTGCTGCAGTATTTTGCTGATTACGTTCACCTTTAATAATATTTCATACCAAATGACAGTGGAACAGGTGAATTTGAATGATTATATCTTCGTTGCTAAGGAATGAGCCTGTTGTTTGGTGTTAATGTCCTTGTTGTCATCATCTGAGATGTCATACAGTGCATCATATACTTCAGGTAGGAAATAATGCAAGGGTTTAATTGCTGTGACTCTGCCTTCCCATCTGGTATCAGAGAGTGGTTTTAAAGTTAGATCTTTAACAAGCTCCATCTTTAACAAGCTCCAACTTGCCATCGTTGGGTGGATGTGACAAAGAGCACATAAAGTTATTGAATGATGCCAAAAGAAATCTACTCTCAGGTATAAAATCGTTACAGTGTCATTCACTGAGAGTATGTGCACTGCATGGAACAAAAAATGCTCTTGGGTTGATATAGAGTATTTTTTTATGTAAGCCATTTTTTTCTTTTCTTTTTTTTAATTTAGAATTTTAAATGTTTGTAAAATAGACAATACAAGTAAATAGGCAAGGATTGTAAGGAAATATACAGAAATATGCAGTGATAATAGTCAACAGGAATGTTTCATCTCAACATCAGAAATAATTCACAAATGTCAATATAAAGGCATCGGTATTGTTGTGGAGGGGTCCTGGTTTCCTGAGAATGCTTTATCATGACAGCAAAACTCTCCCTCCTTAAGGAGAACTATAGTGATTGCACACCCGTCACCAAGGCACCTTCTGTGTGCAGTGTGCCTGGCCCTGGTTCCAGGGCATGCCTCAATAATTAAAAGGGGAAGTAAACTATCAAATCGTATCCCTTTATTACTTTACGGTATGAGGGTAACACCATGACATATAGCGCTAATTTGCAGCAAAGCTTCTAATCGGTGGTCCAAGGCTTATTCAGCGCATATTGCTTCCCATGCGCACCGAGTTGCATGTAAGTTGCATGTAACATTTATCTGTTAGAGGGATGTGGGGGAGAGGGGAGAATAGGGGTTGAAGAAGAGCTAGTTGAACACAACAGCTATTTACATGTTAGTTTGATTATGGAATAGATCAGTGCAAACTTGTACCTGCTCTTTGTTTGAGCAGGAAGTCCCTGTATGGCGTAACTTGTACCTTCTCTTTGCTTGAGTGGGAAGTCCCTGTCTGCTGTAAGAGGTCTAAACCCCAATGGGCCATAGTCGTTAGGCTTCTGTGTCTTAGTTCCAGTGTAGTGCCAGGGGAGAATGAGGGGGGGGGGCAAGGGGCTGCCTGTGATACTGTGCTCATAGGTACTTATTCATTTTTAGAATATGGGTATGGCATAACCAGCCAAATATAGGCTTGTTCCAGTTGGCTAGATCAGTTTTAATTGTTTGCAATAGGGGAGGGAAATTGAGGTCATAAAGTTTATGGAGACCCCAAGATACTTTACTGCCTTTCTGCCCACGCAAATGGATAAGTTTGTTGTAGTATTGATTTTGTGTGGGGGTTGATATGAAGGGGCAGTATCTCACTTTTGGTAAAGTTCACTAAATAATTTGAGAGCTTGGAGATCACAGGGCTGGTTATGGTGAAAAGTAAATCATCAGCAAATGCTGCTACCTCAAATTCCTGAGCGTTTAATTTTAATCCATGTATATTAGAGTTATCGCGTATTCCCTGGAGAAAGGGCTCTAATATAAGTATAAAAAGAAGGGGTGACAGGGGACAACCCTGTTTCGTACCGTTGTTGATGGGTACTCGATCAGATAGCTGACCATTGACTTGCACTCTGGCCGTTGGCTTGGAGTATAACGCTGACACCCATTGGCCAAAACCCACAGCTTTAAAGGTGTGGGAGAGCAGGGACCAGTCCATCCTGTCAAACACCTTTTCGGCGTCTATGGAGAGTAGGAGGCATGGCGTTCAAGAGAGTTTGGATAGATGGATGAGGTTTATCATTTTGACAGTGTTGTTTTTGCCTCACGACTGGGCACGAAGCCCGTCTGATCAGGGTGGACTAGTCCCTGTAGTAGAGGGCGTAATCTTGTGGCCAGGATCTTAGGTCGACATTAATCTGGGAAATAGGGCGGTAGCTCCCACAGTTTGTGGGTTCTTTGCCGGGTTTGGGGATTAGGGTGATATGTGCTCCTACTGCAGTGGTAGGTAGTGGGAGTTGAATGTATTGGTGAATGGCGCAGATAATGTTTTTACAAAAGTCTAATATTTGGTCATGAACCCGTCCAGTTCCAGGTTTTTACCCAGTGACAACTGTTTAACCACCATGACAAATTCCTCGGGGGAGAGGGGTGAGTCTAGAACTCGTAGGACATATTGGGGAATCATCTGTTGTAGGCGATCGGTTAGGTATTGTTCAATCTCATTTGTATCTGGTGGGGTTTGCCTAAGGTTGTACAGTGAGGAGTAGAATTCTTGAAATGCCTCAAGTATGTCAGGGTGATTATGGGTGATGGCTCCCGATTTTGTTTTGATTTTGGAGATGAATGTAGTTTGTCTAGTGTTCTCCAACATTTTAGCTAAGAATTTGCCACTTTTGCCCCCTGTGTGAATAGTAAGTATGTTTCGTCAGTAAGAGCTTCTTTTTGATTCATGTGTTAAGTAGTTGTTGCAGTGCGGATCTCTGGGAAACTAGTTTTTTGCATACATATAGAGATTGATTTTGTTTATGTTGTTCCTCTAGGGTCCTGATATCGTGGAGCAGATCAGTGATTCGGGTGTTACATTGTTTTTTATTTTTAGAGGCGAGAGCAATAAGGTGTCCTCTTGCCACTGCCTTGTGTGCTTCCCAGGTGATGTTGGAAGTAGTGTATCAGCGAGTCGTTTAATTGGGAGACAATGTTGTTGTTGTTAAGTAATAAGTAGTTGAGTTTCCATTGGAATGTTTTGAGTGGGAGTGATGGGATGGTGATGGTCAGAGACAGGGGTGCGTGGTCTGACCACGTGATGGGACAGTAGTGGAAATTTTTAATTAAATGAAGGAATCTGTGGGGTAAGAACAACATGTCAAGTCTGCAGTACGATCCTGTGACATGCTCGTGGAGGGGTGGGTTAAGCGCAAGCTGTCAAAGAGCTGAACTGAATCAAGTAGGGAATTGATTAGTTTCCTGACTGACACTTGATACACCGTTGTCTGCGAGGTAGTGTCAAGTGAGGAGTCTAGTGAAATAATGAGGTCACCACCCATAATAAGAATACCCTCTTGGAATGAGTCTATGGCTCTAATACTTTTCCATAGTGCTCTACCTTGTTTCCTATTCAGGAGGTTTAGGTTGGCCAGGGTGACTATGTTTTGATCTAACTGACTCTTGACTAAAATGAGTCTGCCCTCATCATCTGAGAAGTGCTATATGTAAGTAAAGGGTACGTAGGCTGCTATGAGGATAGCCACCCCGCGTTGCTAAAATAACCAGTCGGAAATTTTCTGTTACGAAACGTGGGAGCCGCATTGGTATGGAAGTGTGTCTCTTGGACAAATACAATATCTGCTTTCAGTTTGTGGAATTCAGTTAAGGCTAAGGAACGTTGAGACCCCTTAAGTTCAAGGATACTACCTGAAAGGTAGCCATTGTGGAATTATTGGTGCCTGGAATGTATTGTGGACCATATATAAATCATAAACCATTACACATCCTGCAAAGATAGAATACATTTTGTAGGCTGTTGGTGAGGGTGGAAAACCGTGGGTGTATCTCCCAGGATGGTGCAGCCATGCCAGTCAGGAGACCTTGATGCACCGCAATATCAGTCATTTCGACCGGTGGGGTCAGGGGGAAGGGAATGTTATATAGAGGGGTTGTCCAGACCATATGGGTGGCTGGCTGGTAAGGTGAGGGGGGGTTCTGGCTGTGATTGTGTCCTGCACACAATCCGATGAAGTACTTGTGGTGGTATAGTAGGAGTTGGGTCTTCTTGGATCCATGGAGGGTATGAGATGTGTCACCAAAGTGGCGTATAATAGAAAAAAGCTAGGGCCGCACTCAGCCACAATATTTCAATCCAGGGTGCTACTGAGCATGGGTCAGCAAAAAAACCACACGAGATATGCATAAAAAGACAAACCTCAGGCACTCACTGTGAAAGTTTCCAGGCAGATTTATTTGCAAAGTTTCGACCTAACTCGGTCTTTATCAAGCACGGCGTATAACTAGGGAACTGGGTAGATTGGTAGCAAACCACTTTACAAGTTGGTCTCTGTACTGAGTCTTAGAGGGTAGAGGGATCGGCATAGTTGAATCTGCCCAATATAGATCTGTGGCCTGCAAGTGATGCTCCATGGCAGCATTAATATGCATGACTTGCCTGATGAGTGATAAACGTTAGTAAATGTGGTAGTATCTGAATGGGCACCATGCAGGGATTTCAGTGGATTAGAGCTAATCCCTATGGGGTCTTGTCTAGAGAAGAGTTTGGGTGAGGGGTTCTAAGATAACATTTATATGCATTTTTGTTGTTGTTGTTTCCCAATAATTATGTTTTTCCTCATACCCCACGGTCACTCACCGCCCCCCGCTGGCATATGAAATAGAGGGGAGGTGGGCCCAATCGGGTAGATTGTTAAAGTGGTAACCCAGAGCTCATCACCTGTAGGTAAGGAGTCGATGGGATTTGAGCCAGGGTTGTGGCCTAAGGTCTGGCAAGGTGATCTGTCTACCAGGGATGCGGGGGAAAGGCGGGTGATGCGCAGGGGAGTATGGTATCTGGTGTTGAACACGGGCAGGGGGTGAGATAAAGGCCCATTCCAGATATATATAAACTTGGTAACCAATTAACAACAATTGGATAGCATATCATGCAACCTTCTCCCACAGGGGCCTGCGGGAAGCGCATGATCTTTGTCTGATCTCATCCTGTAAGTATATAGAGCCTTTCCAAGGTGTAAGTCCTGATAGATCATGCAATCACCTACCGGCAGTCCATATAAGATAAGTGTGTAGAGAAGTCCCTGTGGGGATTTGACGGCTTAGCATAGGAGAGGTTACTGGGCGATCCAAGATGCTCTGCAGGTCCCTCCGGAGAGGTGTCCAAAATCTTGAACCAGGTGAAGGAGAAAAGCAAGGGTGAGTCACTGGGTACTGCAAGCAACATAAGGGTAACAATGTCCCGAAAAAAGTTGAAAATTCATCCATATGAGTCCAGTCTCTGGCCAAGTCATTCTGCTCTTGATGGTCGTGTCAGTTTAATTATAGGAACTGGCGCTTCTCAGCGAACTCAGATTTGGTTGTGTCCCATTTTGGTCATTCCTGTGTCTTTTTGATGGTGTTTGGCAACAGAGCCTTGCTGGAGACAGGGCTGTGGTGGTTGCGGGGCTGTGGTGGTTGCAGGGCTGTGGTGGTAAGTCCAGATCGTGAGCAGATGCTAGTGAGTGTGAAGTGCCATTATGTGTTGTTATCAGGGCAAAGGGAAATCCCCATCTGTACCTTAGATTCCTTGATCTTAGTTGGTCGGTGATAGGCCTCAGTGCCTGAAGTGTAGCCCATGAAAGGTCAGGGTAAATTTGGAGGGGAACATTGTGGAAAAGCAGCATTAATGCTCGGAGGATCTCCTCCTTCAGAGAAAAATAATGCAGTCGGCAGATAACATCTCTAGATGAGTCGCACGCTGCTCTCTTAGGTCTTAAGGCTTTGTGTGCTCTATCCAGCAGTACCTGTTCTTTTGGAGCTTTGCCCAGTATTAAATTGAAGAGTTCAGTGAGCATGGTAGGAAGATTTTCCTGTTCCCATTCAGGGAGGCCTTTAATGCAAAGATTATTACGCCTACCGATGTTGTCTATGTCATCTAGTGACTGGTGGAGGTGTGATAGGCAAGTATTTTGATTTTCTATTGAGATTTGAAGTTGGTGCATTTACGTGTGGAGATCTCTGTCATTCTCTAAAGTACTCACTCTGTCTCCAATATGGCGGATGTCCGCGCTGATTGTTTCCAGCTTCGTCTGGAATGGCATTTCCAGCTTCCCCAACACTGAGGCTAAGTCCTGTTTGGAGGGTAAGTTGCTGAGAGCCTCTTTAATCTCTGTATCAGCGGTAAAGTGCGAGCCATCTGGGCTCAAAGGTGCCGACCCGTCCTGTGATGATTCCGGCGCCGTATTGGTGCTTATTGCGCCTAGGACAGAATTCGCATGATCCTGGAAAAATCTTGTTAATGCCCCTGATTTTCGACCTGGGTGCTTGCCGGGGTTGTTCTGTGGCAAGAGGAGCGCTTAGGGTGTCCCATTGTAGCTGTGGGGGTACCCGATGTAGTCAGATTGTGTGCAGGTTAACATGGAGCACTGTTAGAATGCAGCCATTCATCTCAGAAGTTGACTCCGCCTCCCCCCCATTTTTTAAAAATTTTTTATATTGGCACCATCATCAGACCATTGGCCCCACATGTTTTCAAGTGCATTCTGATTGTTCTAAAAAGGATGTCAGCCCTTTTGATGTATTGTATACTGGGCAAGAATCCAGCAAGTGTGGCTCACATCAAGAGTACAATCCAAGATAATATTTGGACTCAAATTTGGACTCATTCAGGGTTTGTATATATTTTGTTTCTCATATTTTTATTCCAACTATGGCAATTATTTAATTGTGTATGCAACATAATGTAGAATATGTGAATGTTGTGAAATTGAGCACGGAATTCTCTGAATGTGTTTCGATATGATGGAATCAAATTTCCCTATCATTTCAACTAATTTCAGGAAATTACCATTATTATTTTAAAACAAACGGTTGTCATTGCCACAACATGCCAGATTTTATCCAGCTAAATACTGGATAATGTATATTATTCTCTGTATGAGAGAATACCAGAGTTTTTCTTAGTCAATGATTTTTTTCTGTTTGATATTAACAATGGTTGTTCCCTTTTCTAAAGTTCTTGAAAGATCCCGTTCTTATCTGTTGTGACATGGACTGTGTTTTTTCATGTCTTGATAGATGCTGCCAATAATTAAAACCTTTTTTTCTAAACCAAAGCTATATTTTCACTGTTGAATATCCTGCATGCATTGGACTGAATTATTAGATGCAGAATAGATCAATCAACTTCTTAGTATCTTCTCTCTGTTATCCAGTACTGTTTGGTAGTAAGAGATTGAAAAGCTCCTGCTGGTATCATCGTTTAGAAAAGTATGTCTTTTCTTGACCAATTATTATCAATGTTATTCTGTGTTGGTCATCTATTTTCAGGACAGAAATAGGTTCACTTGAGATTCCACTTGATGATGTTGATGGCTCTTCACATTCCATTTTGGTTACTTCATCTATAAGTGCAACGGACTCAGTGTGTGACCAGAGAAAATATCAGATATATCTTCCTCTTCAATGTCAACATGCTCTGCTGCTGAACCAATGTAACCTGCAATTACACCTCCAGTTGTTTTTGGCTCGATGCTACAATCGGGATCCACTGGGACCAGATCTTCACATTCTAATTCTTCCAATTCTGTATTTGATTCTTCTTCTCGACCATGAGAACTGTCTGAGAGACTAGACTGAAAGATATCTCTTTGCTTGATGTTGACCACTGCTTAATAAAGACTTGGTCTGCAAGAAGTAATGCTATTCAAGGATTCTTCCTTTTTTTCTAGCATTGTAGATTTTGATATATCATTCATATATCATTTTTTTGCTAGCCATCTGAGGGAACAAGTAAATAAATATAGTCACGTAACAGTAAACGTTAAGCCAGTGTTTTTAACTTTCATTAATATTTTTTATTTGGAACATATCAGCAAAGCATAATTGAAAAAAATGCCATGGCAAACTATGTTCAAATGCTAGCAATCAGAAAAAAACATTACCTCTCTTATGCTAAGCTGTTTTTTCCATACTCGTTCAATATTTCTTCTAATTGATCCAATGGCAAGGCAACACGATTGCCATGAAAAATATCAATGCATTATATCTTTAAATTAAATTAAACCTGCAGATAATTAAATGTTAATTATATTTTTTATTTTATTTAATATTTGTTTCCCTGTTAGAAAGCTTAAAAATGTGTTGATGCAGACACAAATTTTTTTTATTGTACACATGAATAAAGTTTTAGACTATATTGACCATTTAAAAAAAGGCTAGATATAAGGTTTAAGATAGTATCATGACTCACTCATTGACACTCATTAAATAACAAGAAATCAAGACCATTCATGTTTCAGTCTAGTTTAAGGTAGTTTAGATAAGGTGGTAGTATAAATCATATAAACACACATACAGACAGTTAGCATCTTAGCGATTTTGATTAAAGGGCACAGGGAAATTCAAACCATTGGTCACATAATGTCTGTGTACAATGCAATAATTTGGCACTGGCACATGTAGTTCCATATCAGCCTCACAGCCTCATTACATGTACCAAGTATATATATTTAAGAGGTCTGACCAGAAAAAGTCCAATCATTGTTAATATAATGAGAATGGTTTGCACTACATAAATGTCACCTGGCAGCCAGAGAGAGTGGTCTTGAATGCACTTGCATGAACAATGATGACTTCACTGTACTAGTCAGTGCGGGCACTGGACACCATTAAGTGAGAATGTGAACTGTGTGGGCTTTGCATTCAAAATGACTGAGCGAGTGTAGCAAAGAATCTGATTTAAAATTTGTGTTTCAAAGAAAAAAGAATTGAGGGCACACCCGAAACCTGCATTTTAATTTGTCTCCCACATTTGGTGTTAGTGTAGGACCCACTGATATTGGGGTACTGTGAAGTAGTGGTGGGCTTAACAGAATATGGTCATATGGTGGAACTGAATCCCATATTTGTTTTCTTAGATATGTGACTTTAAGTATCCTGATAATATTATTAGTGTATTATTATGTGTGTGCCATAACCTAATTTGTATCATGTTAAAATTTGTGTATAGCTTGAATATTCCTCTGTGGAAACTATTCAGATGAGTCAGAAGGCTTTCGGGGGAAGATGCAATGAGTACAGCACAAATAAAAGCATGGCACACATGCTTCAAAGATGGTCGAGAATCTGTTGAAAGATTTGGAGCCTTGTGACTTCTGGCTTTTCCCAAAACTAAAATCACCTTTGAAAGAGAAGAAATTTCAGTCTGTCGATGAGATTCAGGTAAATACGACAAGGCAGCTGATAGCCATTCCGACAAAGGATTTTGCAGAGTGTTTTGAAAAGTGGAAGAGACACTGAGAGAACTATGTCAGGTCTCAGTGTGCTTACTTTGAAGGGAACTGAAGCACCATTGTCCTACGTACAATATTTCTTGTATCTTCTTCAATAAATGCCTCTATTTTTCATATTACATGGCTGCAAACTTTCCAGACAGACCTATATGTTATAATTTCAACAATCATTATGTTATTATTTATTGGGAAGTCAGTGACAGTCAGTTGTTATGGATCAAGCCCAATTTGTTGGAAGTATATGGACGAACAGTACTTTGTAATTTGATATGCAGTTG